TAGTTCACCGTTGATTCCAGTGGTGTAATCGGCAACTGTGCCATTTTCTTTCCTCTTTACTTTATGATTGAACCATGAGCTGCAAGTTTCTAATTATTATTCACCGTATGTTCGATGTATGTGCGTTACTTCTCAAGTCGAATGCAGACGGGATTCTTTTTTGAAGATGGTTATGGACGGAGAGAGAATCGAACAACTTGCCTTCATATCTGGACGCGACGTACTAAACCACCGCACTACCGTCCCTTGTGCTTCACTTGTTGGACCTAGCGCAGCACCTCCGATGCTCTCTGTCTTGCTTAACTCTACGCGACATTACCTTTCAACAATTGTCGGCTTTTTGCTGGACTTCCGTGACCTTTGCTGAAGGGTGCCTAAACAAACTAATTTGTCAGAATGAGACTGTTTATGCATCTTGCCTCTTTCAAGAGGAAAACGGCCATTCGAGCTGCTTTTCTATGCAATGTTTGAACGCCTCAGTTTAGAACAAAAGAATCTGACATAGCTGTGTCTGACAAACAAATATATCCTGAAAATAAATAACAATGAATTCCTGTGTCGATTATTCAATAGATCCTGGTGATTTTTTAATCTGAGGAATAAAACGAAGTCCTACTTCCAGCTTATTTTTCCTGGAGAAGATATTAGTGGAGCAAAACGATTCGAAACTGTGGCTCAGCTAAGAGAAGCAACTAGCGATCGCTTTGATGAAGTTGTGAAAGAGATGCAACGACTGAGCAATATGGTGATAAAACTTTCGAAGATTTACGATCCAGGTTCATACAAATCATCGCTGGGAGTGAATCTGCAACGAATGGATTCAATTTTGGGTTTGGTCACACAGGTCAGTCACTTTTTAAACTTAAATCTTCTGCATTATGCAGTTTGAGAGATTTGGGAGCAGTAGGAACCGCATAGCAAGTATCTTAATGCTTTTCTAAAGAAACAAGCTGAATATCCGGTAGGTAGCAAGGAAATTATACTGATCCTGAAATGACGATGTAACCGGGATTCTCTTCCCCGGCTAATGACAGGCAACGTCACCCTTCCGCCCTCCCCCTAATCCCGTCTCTCGCACCCTCTGTATTCGTCGTTTATTAGGGAGCCATCGATAGCCTTGCCAGTTCCAATGGATGACTTCCCTTGGCACTCGCCACCATTCAGGTTACTTCCGAGTGTCCACGCTTCTCATAGAGGGCAGAATATGAAAGAAGTTTCAACTTTATTAGTGCTAAATTTTTCGTTTAATTTAATTTTTCCAAATTTAAGTTTTTTTTTTTCAATTTCGTGTGCTTCTTTTTTTGTAGTATGAAACGGGTAGACTGCAGAGACGTGCGTGGGCCGAAAAAATGCAATCCCGAAATATGCGCCATTTCTTCGACCAGGATTTCTTTGAGGTGAACAATTGATTGATGAGTGATAACCAAAACTTTCACATTCTGCATATTGCTCTTTAAATAAATGAAGCTAGCGGCATAGAGCAGTGATACAAGTAGCGCAGCTCATGTCCTGAAGGTCAATGATTTTAAACTTGCTAACATATGCCTCCACAATTCCTTGATTCGTTTCGGTGGTATATTGGTAGTGGGCATATGCTAGGATGTCAAACCTGCCATCGTCTTACTTTTAAACAACCTCTGAAAGAGCGAGTCTTCAACAACCTTGTCAGCGGATGGTTGCTGTTAGCGCAAGCTATCATTTAGATTAGTGCCGAGTGCTTTCATCTCATAAACTCAAGTGAAGACAAAGATTTTGTGGTTTTGACTTTAACTTTATTATTGCTTTAATTGCACCTTTTTTCTGGAATATTGGTACTGTTATTTTAGGGTTGGTATAATCCGATTCTGAGAGATTTGGACGAGAAACTGGTGCGCAATATTGTAGATATGGAAGATGATAATTTGCAAATGCTAACGGATTCTATTCAGGATGGCCAAGGCTTACAGGTTTTTAAAATTTTATTTTTTTCATTACATTTCTAAGATACTCACGCTTATCACAGATTCCATAGAAAAAGATGTGCTTGTCTTAAATTAATCTCGTTTTGAGCGAGGTTTTTTTTACCCTTTACTACTACTTAGATTATTTATTATAAATTATCATAATCTAATTGTGTTTTCATGCAGGCGAAATCCTCTTGTACCTGTGTGTTGTTATAGATGGGTGCCATGCTATATTTCGGTGATTTATCGCAACAAAATATGAAAAAGTTTGGAGCATTTGCCCAAGATATTGTCGACTGTACATTTGGTGATGTGAAAAATGAAAGTGTTGAATTGCTGAATTCTTTCAAGAAAGTAATGCATGAGTTCCAGGTTAAATTAATGCTGGATTTTTTTTTGTGAAATTGCAAAAAGGGTACACTTGATAATCATGCAAGACTAACAGTTTAAACCTAAAAAAATGCAGTGACCTCGTTCCTTCTGTTTCGAGACGACCTCGTCGGAATTTTCGACTTTTAGGTCGTGACGAGTTATTGTACCAATCGGAAAATGCGGTAAAACCAAGAGTACCAAGACAGCCTGGACTATCGGTTTGGGTATCCCGTGTTAATGATGGCACTAGTACGCTCCCGCATATCAGGTGCAGTTATGTCCGGTCCTTTGGTCCAGAGCTGCATACTTCTAGTTAGTACCAACTGCCTATCTAGTC